AGGAGGAACGATGTGGTTTCCATCCTTGCCGTGGAACACTGGACCAGCTCTACACCCTTGGAGGGATTCAGGAGGGTGCATGGGAGTTCGCCACATCAATCTACACGTGTTTTGTGGATTTGGAGAAAGCGTTCGCCCATGTTACTCGGAGGGTTCTGTGGGCTGTTAGGTCCATGTATGCCCGGTGTCAGAGCTTGGTCCACATTTCCGGCTGTAAAGCCTAGTTTATGCTTTTGCATTTGCATCGGTACGGAGACACACAACGCCATTATCCGGTGGAGAATTGCTTTGCAACACCCCAGAAGACGGAAAAGTCAGGGAGCAAAACGTCGGTCACTGCATGTGTGTCTCTCTCTTGTGGAGCTGATGCAGAAGCATAAGTTAGGCTTAAGTCGGACTCGTTCCCAGTGAGAGTTGGACTCCGCCAAGGCTGCCCTTTCTCACCGATTCTGTTCATAACCTTTATGGGCAGGATTTCTAGGCGCAGCCAAGGTGTTGAGGGGATTCATTTTGGTTGCCTGAGGATCAGGCCTCTGTTTTTGCAGATGATGTGGTCCTGTTGGCTTCATCAGAACGTGATCTCCAGATTTCACTGGAGCTGTTCACCGTTGAGTGTGAAGCAGCTGGGATGAGAATCCGCATCTCTAAATCTGAGACCATGGTCTTGATTTGGGAAACGATAGAATGACTTCTCCAGGTCAAGGATGGGGTCCTGCCTCAAGTGGAGTTTAAGTATCTCGGGGTCTTGTTCACGAGTGAGGGAAAGATGGAGCGTGAGATCGATAGGCGGACTGGTGCTGAGTCTGCAGCGGTGTGGTCGTTGTACCAATCTGTCGTGGTGAAGAGAGAGCTGAGCCAGATCTATGTTCTATCCCTCTCCTATGGTGACGAGCTACGGGTAGTAACCACAACAATAAGATCTTTGATTCAAGCAGCCAAAATGAGTTTTCTCTGTAGGGTTTCTGGGCTCTCCCTTAGAGATTGGGTGAGAAAATCGGTCATCCAGGAGGAACTCGGAGTAGATATGCTGCTCCTCGCCACTTGGGGTGGCTCTGGCATCTGGTCAGGCTGCCTTCTGGACGCCTCCCTGGTGAGGTTTTCTGGGCATGTCCAACCAGAAGGAGACTCAAAGGAAGACCCAGGACACGCTGGTGGGACAACGTTTCTCGTCTGGCCTGGGAACGCCTTAGGATTGCCCCGGAGGAACTGACCCAAGTGGTTGGGCAGAGGAAAGTCTGGGCCTCTCTGCTTAGACTGCTGGCCCTGTGACCCGATTCTGGATTAGCAGAAGAGGATGGATGGATGGATTCTGGTCATGTTTAAGGCCAACAGAGAAGGCTTTGCTGGAGTCAGCTGTAAGAGCACTAACAGAATGTAATAGAACAGGGGTGTCAAAGATGCGGCCCGCGGGCCGGATCCGGCCCGCAAGCAGGTTAAATCCGGCCCGCGAGATGGTTGTGTAAACTTTATTTTCATATTTTACAATGTAGAGTGAAAATAAACGTATCATTGTGAGCAAGTTTCCTCTGTAATGAGTATAAATAAAACAAAGCTGCGCTCAAGGCTCACACAAGAACTTGAATCACATCCTGAAGTTGGCCGCCACTCAGGATGTGACTTCTGATGTTGATGTTCTGGTGAAAGCTAAAAGATGTAAAGTAAAATGAGTCAAATATACTTTAAGTGCTGCATGAAACTGATCTAGCCATGTTATCTGTAAGCTCTTTGAATCACTAAGGAATGTTTTTTTAATTTATTGATTTTTTGTTATTTTTTCCAAATTTTCAAGTACACTTCAGGTGTTGTACTTGTACTATTTTGGATACACTGTCCTCAGGCTCCAGCTTTGTTTTATATTGATTGTATTAATACAAAGGAAACAATCTGAAGTTGTTTTTAATTTACCGGTCTGGCCCACTTGGGACTAGATTTGCCTCAATGTGGCCCCTGAGCTAAAATGAGTTTGACATCCCTGTAATAGAAGATAATAAAGCAAAATTCACCTAAAAAAAACCTTGAATTTATGTGAATACCACTTGTGGAGGCATCACTGACAACAGAATAGTAATGAGAGTCAGAGAAAGATGTAATCAGTGATAAACAGAAGCTGCCAGCGCAGGTGTCTAATAACAGCTGACACATCCACATGCCCGATTTAGAAGCCAGGGCCTCTTTTCTAAACACACATTACCATAGTAATGCTGACAGTTTAATCTGTGGCAAAATAATCTCCTTACCAACGAATTACTGTAATTTATTCAATTAGTTTGGACACAGGCCACACGTCCCTCACTCCAAATGTTTGATTTCTTCCTCATTTGTTGAGCTTTGTTAAGGGTTCAGGTTTAAATAATAATAATAAATAAATAAATAACACCAATGCCATGGAAAATTAGCCAGGAGCAGTGTGTAACATGCAGAAATTAGGCTTTTAAAGCAGTCAAACTTGTTATTTCAATAGATTTGCAAGTTGTTTTCAGAGGAGGCAAAAGCTCTCGCGCTCCTTTGTTGGAGAAGTTGGGGGTGGAAAACAACAGGACAGTGCAGATACGTAGCTGTCTGGCTTTTTCTGACCCGAGTGTTTCCCGCTTCTATTTTCATGTTCTAAATGCATGTGAGACTCAGAGTGACCAATCATATTTCAAAAAGCTCACCTTTAAACCTCACTTTTAAAGTCGTAGCATGCACAAGCGTATTTGAAACTCCTCAGAATCTGGAATGAGATGTAAACATGCACTAGATAGATGGGGCTCTGATCCCCTGGTGCCTGCTGTGTCCAGATCTATGTAGCATGTTTAGTCTAGTTGGAAACTAAAGTCCTTACAGGACGATTAAGGAAGCCAACCTGATTCAGGTTTCCATCACAGGTCATCTTGGCAAAAATTAAAATGTGACTTCAAACGAATCATGTTTAGGTACCACTACTTTTCAACACCCAGTATGAATTTTCTGCATGTTTAAGGTAAAATATTAGTCATGACCGAAGGTTTCCACATTTACAAAGTCATGCTTCTTTCTGATAGCACATAGAAATAGCTAACAGTTCATGTATTTTGTATCTATAAAGTGTCATCCGCAGCGTCCCTGGGGAAGTTCACCATTGTGACTCAGTCGAGCTGTTTTTTCTACAACCCCAGTTCCTGCCGGCCATTCCCACAAGAGAACAGTTCTAGAAACCACAACTAAATAAACGTAAATAAATACAATCCGGTTGTTTTAATATGAATGCTACAGTTCCAGTATTGCTCCCGTGGTTAGTGGATTTATTTAGATGTACTTCTGCCCCCTAAGGGCCAGCAAGCTTATTGCATTGATGTTCATGATTAGTTTCCTCCTCCATAACAGGCATGTTGCTATTTAACATCACAAAATAACTTCTGAAATGTCTGAAGACACTCTTTTTATTGTTCTCATTTACAAACATACCCCTACCTTTTACATTCGAGGACCCAGAGGTCTTGTGGACTTTATACAGTATTTGCAGGATTCTGAAGGACTACGTTTTTTATGCCTGAATTATATGTATGAATTTCTGTTTTTTATTCCATGTAATATATTAATTTATAAAGCACCATCAAGCTATCAATCAAGGTTTCCTAAAAGTGATGTACATACATTACAAGCAGTAAAAAGCAGGTAATGAAACAGATGAAACTAATGAAAACCAAATTACTGTAAAGCAATACATGTCACAGGAAAGAAAAGATTAAAAACACAACTGACGGGGATGAAATACAATTAAAATAAGGAACCGAGTGAGAAACCAGCTGAGAAACAGAAACTGAGATGAGGTGCAAAATCAGAATAGATTTGGAGATCTGAAAAGGGCGGCTGATTTCTGCCAGGAGTTGGTCTTAAAGTCAAGAAGCAAAAAGAAATAAAATAATCTTTTCTATTGCACCTCTCAAGATTAAAATCATGAGGCACTTCACAAGAACAAAAACTTAAAAGAAAAAAGTTTTTGAAAAGTTAGAAAAATAAACATTTGTGATTACGGTAAAAAGGTAAGGAAAGCAAAAGAGAAAATTAATTTAAAAAAAGGAAAATCGGGAAAAACTTGCATTTTTTTAACTCTGATTAGCTAAGATGGAGCCTGTTTTAGAGAGGCTAGCCACTGCATCACTGTTGTGTGATGCCTCCTTTATATGCTCTTCAGATAGATAGATAGATAGATAGATAGATAGATAGATAGATAGATAGATAGATAGATAGATAGATAGATGAAAGTGTCATGGTCTGCGTCTCCCTCATGTGTCTCCTTGTGTGCTCCATCCCCCTCTAAGGAGCCCCTTATGTGTCTCTTTGTGTTCCTCGTGTGTCTCCTGTTTGCAGCCCTCCAGATTATCCCTCCCAGGTCCTGTGTTCCTTCGGTCTCCCCCAGTCACCCCTCCGCAGTTTTTATAGGTTCAGCTTTTCATTTTATTAGTCTCTCTAGTGTGTTTTCCCACGGGTGTTTGTAGTTTTCCTTCCCCTTAGAATATTAGTCATGTTTGCTGCTCTTGTCTTTAGGTTTTACTCTTAGGTCATGTTAGTTTCCTCCCTGATTAGTTCATTGCTTTCACTTAGGCTGCAGGTGTGTGGGGAGAGAAACTATCTGCCTCCCATCATGCCCCAGTGTATATAACCCTGTCTGTTGTTGGTCCATTGTCTTATGTCAGCGTTGTTTTGTCCCTCCCTACTAGTTTCTAGGTCTCTGCTCAGTAGTTGAGCTTTTGGTTGTTGTCTTAGTTTAGTTGTTCGGTTTTGGCCTCCATCCCTTTGGAGTTTTTCGTTATCTTCCTAAATAAAGGATTTTACTTTTTCAACCGCTCCTGCCTGAATATTCTGGATTTTCTGCATTTTGGGTCCAAACCTCCTGCTCTCAACGTGACGGATGGATGGATGGATGGATGGATGGATGGATGGATGGATGGATGATTTCTGCTCCATCAATAATATAAAATCCTGAATCTGCTCAATTTCTGTTTATTGACTAATTACTAACACTTTATTTCAAATAGGTGAGCCGAGGCTGAGGGGTTGAGCACGAGATGCGACTGGATCAGTAAAGATGACGTTGCTGGCGGGTGATGGCTCAGACTATGACTACAGCGCCCTGAGCTGTGCCTCTGACACCAGCCTAAACCAGCCTCCACAGCAAGAGGAGGAGGTTTGTAAAGGAGCTTTTTACAAGAGGGCCCAGCCTGCCCCTGAGATCAGCACCATCTCTGACAACACCCCCCTGTCCAGCGCCTGTAAGCTCAGTGCCATCATCAATGTTGGGGGGTTGCGCTACCAGCTGCCCTGGACCACCTTAGAGAACTTCCCCCTGACCCGTCTGGGCCAGCTGCACCTCTGCAGCACCTTTGATGAGATCATGCACATTTGCGACGACTACGATGTTGCGCACAATGAGTTCTTCTTCGACCGCAACCCCTGCGCCTTCCGCAACATCCTGACCTTCCTTCGTGCAGGAAAGCTTCGCTCCCTCCGGGAGATGTGCGCCCTCTCCTTCAGGGAGGAGCTGCTCTATTGGGGTGTCCCAGAGGAGAGACTGGAGTGGTGCTGCCACCGGCGTCTCCTGCAGCGCGTGGAGGAGTTTGAAGCAATGGAGAGGGCGGAGGAAGAGGAGGAATTCTTGGAAGATTTGTTGGATTCAGAGAACAGGCGCAGGGAGCAAATAACCGAGTCTAGATTCGGTCGCTGCATGAGCAAGCTGAGAGACATGGTGGAGAGGCCTCAGTCGGGCTTGCCGGGGAAGATCTTTGCTTGTTTATCAGTGCTGTTTGTAGCCATCACTGCCATCAACCTCTCCATCAGCACCATGCCAGCCATGAGGCAGGAGGAAGAGGAGGTAAGTTGAAAAATGTCTAAAAACAATGGCTAGAAGTTAATAAAGGTCGAGGTAGATTTAACTGTGCACCAAACTGAATACTAAAAGGTAAATCTTGAAGTTCATGTAAACCTTCAAAAGTGCAGGAAACTGTCAAAAAAAATTGACCAGAAAAAGTTTCCAGTGTGAAAATGAAATATCTTATGACCCATTGTTAGAGCAACTGGTGACTGGAAACGGTGGATGCTGCAAACACAGTTCATTAAATACGAAACATCCTCCCAAATAATTTGATGTTGCTTTTCTGTCTTCATCACTCTTTGTTTTGATGATAAAGAATTCCAAGGTGTCGTTTTCTCCACGTTCTTCCCACAGTTTTAGATTATTTAGTTAGTTTTTTCCAGCACTCTCCAGCCACACCAGTGGGTCTCGTGCTACCTTCAGACCAGGGAGGACGTGCTATCTAGTTCTGGGTCTCGTCTTGCTGTCGCCTGGGTGGGACGAACCCAGGAAACCTCTAGAAGGAGATGACTGACTCACCCTAAACTGCCTGGTGTCCACCCTGACAACAGAGCTCCTCACCTTATCTCTAAGGCTGAGCACAGAAGGAAGTTGCTTTTGACTGTTTGTTTTTAACATGTTTATCTTCTGGTCACAATCTAAATCTCCTGACTGAAGCTGAGGAGGATACAGTAAAGTAAAATATACGAGCCAGTCATCTGATGTACTTGGCTCAGCTCCCTTTTCCCCATGACTGTGTAGATAATCTTCAAGGCCAACCAAAAGACCTTCTCCAAAGCACCTTCCAGTTTCTCCAACACACATTTCTATAGCCATGACCACAAAGCTACAGACCTTCTGGCCATTTAGGACACACATCAATGACCTGGCCACATCTACCATTATCTATTTATTTGGAAGCCATTTCCTCCCCCAGTTGAAATTGCGAACCCCTCTACAGATCTTCAGCTCACTGTCCACCGTGTGCGCTCCGAGCCGCGCTGAGCAAATGTCCAGTATAAAGCTCTGATGTTCTGATGGAAATCATTTCTTGATTGATTTAGTTACCTCCGCCATGTGCGTAACGATTAAAATGTCAGCTCTTCTGTGTGCGCATCAGTGTGCGTCGGGGTAATTCTTTCAAAACAACCAGCATCCTTGAGTTTATCCGTCAAAATAAACAGTCAAATGTAAATATCTGTAAGCTGTTATTTAACTGTTTTGCCTTCTTGTGAAGATTGTTGCAAAGAGAAACAACTAAACTTGATTAACCCCAGAGCCACGCGTACTGCGCTGTACTTCTGACTGTAAATGAGGGGAAACGATTTAATGGGATCCTTTTCTTTTCAACATGGTTTAATGTAAAGTTTCATTCAGTACAAACTTTAGTTACACCAATCTAATGAGACAGAGCCTGGATTTGTATTCTGAACAGTTTAAACATGTTTAAACGGAGACGTGCGTGACGCGTCTAAAATCCGCACCTGCTCCGCTATTATGGAAATTAAACTAACAAGATGAATAACATGAACTTATTTTAGGCACAGACAACATCCCCCACACCTTTGAAAAGCTTGCAACGCGCCTGTCGCCACGTCTCCATCTGACTCAACCACTTGCCTGCTGATATGACACACTGGCTCTCGCCTCCTTAAGAAAAACGTCCTCCTCCCCCTTTTTCTAACAAAGGAGGTGAACAGGAAACGATCCTTCCTGCAGTCAGTTTCTGTCTGCTCTTCTCCTGAGCAGTGAGTCTGCTGCTTGCGTGAGCTCATGTGCACGCGTGCTTGTTAAAGACTCAGTTTTCCGACTAAAGCTGGGCGTACACTGTGCGACTTTTTCACTCGCAGCGTTCAGCTTCAGCTCACACTGTACGACTTCCTCGCAGAGCAGATCTCACGAGTCATGTACTCACACTGCACGACCCAGTTCTCGGATGCGACCTGACTGCTCACACTGTACGTCTGGTAGCAACACATCGGCCCTAAAAATATACTAAAAATAGCAGTTTTTACTCAACACGTCAGACTTTTTTGTCTTGCCTGTTGTCCTTCGGGAGTGCTGCAGGAGGACACACAGGGATTTATGGGGGTTGGATGAGGAAAACGAAATAAAGAAAGTAAATCTGTGTTTTGTGATCAGTTTAATTTGTCATGAACACGACAAACACGCTTTCTTGACGATCTTTGTGAGTAAAAAAACGTGTAGAAACAAAAACGAACAACGTGTGTTATTAGGGAAATAGCGAGCGAGCGGCGTTGATGCAGGATTGCGCATGCGCCGTGAGCGGTTCTGATACTTTTTGGGTCACAGCTGCTCGCAGCGCCGCTTCAACAGTGCGATACCCTCACGAGGGACGAGCAAAATATTAAACACTCCAGAAGTCCGTGCGACCTCGCGACTGCTGATCGGTAGCTGGTCACGTGGTTTTAATCGCCTCTCGTAACCCCCTGTACACTACACGACCGCTCGGCGCAAAACTCGCCCCGATCTTGTGGATTCTCGCACGACTGGAAAATCGGCTCAAAAAAGTGAAAAAGTAGCACAGTGTACGCCCGGCTTAAGAAACTCCCAGAGCGCACGCTGGAGGGTTGAAGGGGTGCTGCCAATCATCGCCTCAGTGCCACCCTCTCAGTCCTCCTAGCGACGCCTTTTTTCCAGGTAATTTTCTAACAGGAAGGTTGAAATAAGTCTCCACCCATGCCTTGACTCCCACTTTAAATAGCTTCTATGGCAAAATAAGAGAAACAATTGAAAGAATGCTTGATCCACACATAATTCTGCCTGGAAAGTGTAAACCTGTTTAAAGGTTATGGTCAGAGCAGTCTGAGTGCTCTTGATCAACATGTATGCTAACTGACCTGTTTAATGGTGAATCAGATTCCTCTAGTTGTAAATAAAAGTAGAGATTTGTATCTTTAATGCAGCCCCAGGATTTATTTTATGTTTTATTTTCATTTTCTGCATCAAAGTAGTATATTTTAAATGTGAATGTAACAGTTTTTTTTCTCAAAAAGTGCACTGTAAGAAATGAACTGATGAATTTACTTACCAAGTTACGTCAGCTGGTTCCTAGTCCTAATCAACCTAGTTGATTAAATTACATTTAGATTGACCACAGCAACAAAAGCAAAAGTAAAACTAGTTGAAAGACAATATTTTATTCCCTAAAAGCCACATTGCACCAATTATGTAGAGGCCATTTGAAATCTTTATGTTTTAACAGAGACATTGTGCAATTTCTTGTGCTTTGGCCTCTGACCTGGATACCCTTAGTAATGTGGTATTTTTATTCTTCTCAGGGCAAGTGTTCCAAAATGTGCTCTAACATCTTCATTGTGGAGACGGTGTGTGTTGCCTGGTTCTCCCTGGAGTTCTCGCTACGCTTCATTCAGGATCGCAGTAAGCTGACGTTCCTCAGAAAGCCTCTGAACCTGATTGATGTGGTAGCCATCCTGCCGTACTACATCACACTGCTGGTGGACGCCACCTCCAAAGGGGAGAAGCGGCTCGGCTCTGGCAACAGCTACTTAGACAAAGTGGGTTTGGTCCTGCGTGTCCTCAGGGCCCTGCGCATTCTGTATGTGATGCGTTTGGCTCGGCACTCACTGGGCCTGCAGACTCTTGGACTGACAGCCCGCCGCTGCACACGGGAATTCGGACTGCTCCTCCTTTTCCTGTGTGTGGCCATCGCGTTGTATTCTCCGCTGCTGTACTTGATTGAGAATGAAATGGCCACAACTCAGGAATTTACAAGCATCCCTGCAACCTACTGGTGGGCTGTCATCACCATGACAACGGTAGGATATGGGGACATGGTGCCCAGGAGTATCCCAGGTCAGGTGGTGGCTCTTAGCAGCATCCTGAGTGGGATCCTCCTGATGGCTTTCCCTGTCACCTCCATTTTCCACACCTTCTCCCGGTCCTACTTGGAGCTGAAGCAGGAGCAGCAGAGGCTCCTTCAGAGGAGGACACACTTTCTTCTGCGTGGCCGCATGGCCGGCCTGGGAAGCAACCTTTCCTTAGAGAGCGGCATCCTCTTCCCCATGCGGCCATCTGACACAAGAGACCTGGAAGACTGAGACAATGGGCTGGGACCCAAATTGATGCACGTCTCCGTCTTAGCAGATGACTTTTAAAGTGTAATGGAAGGACATCGGCCCGATAGACAGCCTCAGAAAGTTCAGAGGGTTCGGTGATGAAGCAAAAACAACAAAGAGCAAGAATTTCCTAGAAAGCAACTTGCTGTGCAGCAGTCCGTGTCTTTGGGAAAAAGCCTCAGAATCACTCTTAGAGGATGGTTTGTTTTAATAAACGATTACAGATGTGACACCAAACTACTTCGTTTTCAAACTGTTACTGTGAAAGATCCATCCAAAACATTTTAAATAGCAACTTTTGTCCAAATTAATCATTAGAAAAAACCTTTTTACTAAGGGGGCAACGATGGCTGAGGAGTTGGAGGGTTGCAGGTTCATGCCCCGCTCAGTCTGTAGCAGCAGTTGTGTCCTTAGGCAAGACACTTAGGCCCTGTCCACACGTAGCCGGGGATCTGCCAAAACGTAGATATTTTTCTACGTTTTGGCCTGTCATCCACACGAAAACTGAGTTTTTTCACACGAAAACGGATCTTTTTAAAAACTCCGGCCAAAGTGAAGATCTGCGTTTTCTCCATTTTGGGTGTCTGCGTGTGGACGGACAAAACCGGAGTTTTAAGGTCCGCAACGTCACTTTCCGCGACAAAAAATGCTGACATCACGTGTGCGACCTGTGTTTACACTAGCCGACAGCATGGATGCCCTCAGAGCTGCGCTCGCTTTATCAATCGTCCAAGCGCTTTTTGCTTGTTTGTTTTTGCAAGCGGGATTACTGCTCCTTGCGGAAGACCACAGACGAAGGACGAGGTTAAGAACGGGGGAAGTACTGCCGCCTACAGGTCTGGTATGTCCTTAACAACGTATTTATCCGGGTACGTGGGGACAGTTTTTTTAAAACGAGGTGGTGTGGATGCAAGTTTTTGGAGGGGCGGATGTTCGTTTTTAAAAAAAAACCGGCTACGTGTGGACTAGGCCTTTGTCTGCTGGTGGTGGTGAGATGGAACCGGCGGTGCCCAGTGACTGCCCCACCTTTTTCAGTTAGCTCCAGGGCTGTTGTGTGTGTGAATGTGTGCATGCGGTGATGAATGACTGTTGTGTTGTAAAGCACTCTGGGTGCTATTTAAAGCAGTGGCGGCTCCAGAAATGTTTTTCTGCAGGTGCTCTGAAGGAGCTAGTCTTTTTATTGAGGGTGCTATGAAGGAAGTGGTCATGCGTACCTGTTGTTCTCTAAAACACCTTCAACACTAGCAGATAACATGCATGCACAACACCTCAACAACACCTGAAACAATCATTCATATACATCATAAACATGAACAATCGCTGACTTTTCCATGAAATCATAACATCAATTTCCTGTTTTGGTTTAAGTTTTTACTACTATATGATAATTTACTGATTATTTTTGTTTTGTATGTTAAATATTATCACATCCACACGTTAAATTAAAATTAAATTGTAAAAAAAAAACAAGTAATATTTACTTGGAGGTGCAATGACTAATCCAGGGGTAGCTATAGCGCCCCCTAGCGCCGCCACTGATTTAAAGGCCACTTACATTGACAAGATATTTAACTAGTGCAGTGAAGCGTGTTTTTCAGACCTTAATGAGCAGCTAATTGAGAGGAAACACGACTCCAGTTACATCAACACTTTTGCAGATATGTACAGGTGAAACTCGTAAAAAGGGGATACGGTGCAAATGTTCGTTTATTTCAGTTATTCAGCTCCATGCTAAACCAGATATTTCAGCCTGTATTTGTTATAACCGATGATTGTAGCTTATAGCTTGTAGCTTATAGCTTATGAAACCCCACATTTAAAATCTCAGACAATCAGAATATTGAGAAATGGTTCAAGATTCTAGACTCAAAGTTTCATGCTCCAGTCAGATAACGAACACCCACAAAGGGTTCCTGAGCCTTTAGAGGGTATCTCAGTCTAAGATGGATTACTGAAGCAAAAGCACTTTTTCATCAGATTCTAATTTTCTGAGTTTCACCCAAAATCACAGCTGTTTGTCAGAAACGAGAATCTTGAGCAAAAGTAACATGGAGCTGAATGGAGCTGAGGAAGAGACCACAATCGGAAGTAGGAACCGAGCTGAGGAAGTAAACAAAGGATGTGCCTCTCAATTTTTGTGAATTAATTTTCTGACTTGTTTGCCCAAAGAAGAAGAAAAGATATAGAATTTGGGTCATAATGTATAACAATTAGCCCAAATAAATAAGACAAAAACAACAAAACATAAATAAGATTAGTCAGATATCCGCTTCAGAAAGTCAGAGAATGTTTTTAATCAAACTTTGACACAACACAGCAGCTCCTTGTAGCAACAACGGTAGCCGTGGTGGAAGTGTGTTTATTTAAAGCAAATAAATGCAGTTGTGAATTCCTCCAAAGTAAATGGAAGCAGCAAAATGCCTGTTTTTTACAGCATAGACAATAAAGAGTAGAGGCTGCAGCAACCGCTGCTGCCTATGGCGGCTGCATTCCTTACACCCCAGCAGGAAATGCGGGGTCTACCCTTTAACGTCTATGGATTACAGTTTCAGCCATGGCTTTAGCTTCGTGAGAATCAGGCACTCTTGAACAGAATTAAACTACATAGTTCACAAACACCAGAATAAGCATGATCATGTTAACATTCATATGACAAACTATGCTGGTGAAGGTTCTCAGTCATCCATGGCATGGTGATCCAAAGGGGTTCGAACGAAGGCAACTGGACTTCTCTGGTTTCCTGTAGTCTAGTCAGAATTGGCGAAGCTCCTCGGATGAGAATCAAAATATCTTCAAGAAACCAAAGAAGTCCAGTTGCCTTCATTTGAACCTCTTTGGATCAGACAAACTAGATAAACCAAAACATATGGACAAGTTCATGAACGATCGATCTCATCCTGGCACAACACTGATACCCACCAAAGTCAAAAACTGGCAAAACCCCCCATGATCCAATCCAATCCAATCCAATCCAATTTTATTTATAAAGCGCATTCACAAGGCATTACAACCAAACAAGGCGCTGTACACTAAAAATGTTAGTTAATTAAACCGGCGGTATACAAACATGTCGAACACAGATAAAAGATAAAAAGGAAATACAACAAAATTCCCAAAACTAACAGCTAAAAATCAATAAGACACAGGGAGAATAAAAATTAGAAAAATATTTTAAAAAGAACCTCAATAGTACAGAAGTTGATATTGTGAAGTCCATTTTTAAACAGTGCAGATGTAAGTGAGGTTCATAATTATGTTGTATAAGCTAGGTTGAAGTAGTGAGTTTTCAGGCGTGATTTAAACATGCTAGCTGTTGGTGCTAGCCTCACTAGCAGTGGTAATGCGTTCCACAGCTTGGGGGCACAGACAGAGAAAGCCCTCTCTCCACGGCTTTTTAAACGTGCATTGGGAACAGCTAGGAGGAGCTTATCTTCAGACCTGAGAGCACGCGGCGGGTTGTAGTAATGGACCAGTTCACACAGATATGGAGGAGCTTGATGGTTCAAGGATTTGTAAGTCAGAAGCATAATTTTGAAGTTTATCCTGAACTGCACGGGCAACCAGTGGAGAGATTTCAGAATTGGAGAAATGTGTTGTCTTCTGTCAGCTCCAGTCAGCAACCTAGCTGCTGAATTCTGGACCAGCTGAAGTCTAGAGAGAGCTGCTTTACTGATGCCGTTTAAGCAGGAGTTGGAGTAATCCAGCCTTGAAGTGATGAAAGTGTGGACCACCGATTTCAGAAGACGGACACTCAGGATGTCAGGATGATACCTAATTCATGTGTGTGCTTCCAAAGCCGTGGGAGTGAGAGGCTGTTCTCTTTATCCATCCTTCTCATACCCTAGCAGGTCATGTGGCCTAGCGGGGAGAGGTGGAAAGCAGTCGGAAAACTAACGCAAACAAAATATTCCTACAGCCACATTGTTTGGAGTACATTCATGAATTATGTCTCGAAATGCAGGGATTTTTGTCAGCTTTGAGTCGGGGTTAGGGTTAGGGTTAGGCCAGTGTAACTCTCATTTTGTTATGACCTACAGTTCTCCCAGGACTTCAGGCTAAATCCCCCCAAAATCCCCAAAACTCACTGCCAACACGTCCCGAATGAGCTGAATGTTTTGAAGCTAAATTTGCTGAAATTGCCAAAATAGTGTTGGAGAAGAAGCTGTCTAAAAACACGCAGGAGAAAGTAGTGGCTAAAAGTAAAGAGCAACCAGATCCCTCTAGTTTGAATCAATTGTCATTGAAACAGTTTTACTCCATCATCAAAATATCAAATGAAAGTTTTGACCCATAGCCATACAACCAGTAAAACAGAATCACCAAAGTTGCTGTTTGACGAACAGACATGCCATTGTTCTAATGTCGGAACAAGTCAGAGGAATTTAATAGAAGATGCAGTTTGTGTTGGTGAAGCCTACGAGGAAGAATCCACGATTATAACCCATACTTATCTCCAAATTATATTGGACCTCTTAGTAATCTGCCCTCTGGCAGGGTCAGCATCTGCAGAAGAACTGTGTCAAGTTCAGTGTTTTCCATCTTCTCACTGATGTTCCAGTTGCAACTGTCCACCTGTTCTAAAACAGTGTTACTGTCTTTGTGATTAGCTATTTATAAATCATCCTTCTCGTTAGCTTGGATCTTGTTGTCTTATTCCTTTTTTTTATAACCTGAAATCAACATTTTGCACTTGATTGCACAAGTCATCCATGTTGTGCTTCAGTTTGAATCTAAATCTCAACACTGTGAAAACCACGTTGCTGTCCATGATAAGTTTGGTCTAAGCAAAAACAGGACAAATGCATTTTCAAAGAAATGTGGAAGGCTGCCAAAGCAGCTACTGCCATAACATTTTTACCTAAGCAGGCAGATGTCTGAGTTTTGATTACGAACCATATAAAAAGCAAAGAGAACCAAAACCAACGTTCAAACTGCAGATGATTTTTCGAGGTTACCACACTCCTGTGTCTCTCACCTGCAAACATCAAACTTCACGAGAGGCAGATTCAGAAATAAACTAGATGTTCCTGTCTCCATAGACGTTTTCGCTGCTTCGTGCACACCAATGCACCCCCCATAATGATGATCTGCACGGGTAAAATGTATCTGAAGAGTCTCACAGGCATCCGGAAAGACGTGATGCTTTTAAAACGGTTTGATTGGGTGAAGTCCTGAGTTACTTTTCAAATTGAGAGAATTGATTACCAGCTCTAAATTGGTGTAATACTGACCTTGAACACGAGGTGGCAGCAACACACTAAGAGACAGTACTACTATTACCTCTGAACACACCAGCCTGCAGAGTGGATGACGGAATTTTGTGGTTTAAGTTGAATTTAAGTTGTGTCTACATTCATGTCTGAATCCTAATGAGAAGAAGTCCACCTGGAACTTACAGCCTCAGGTGAGTGGGGTACCTCTGACTCAGAGAGACCAGTGATGTGAAAACACCTGGCCAATCAGAGTGTGGAAGTCCGTGAATAAAGGGGCGGGGCTCTTTCCCCAGTGTTTTCTGTTTATGATGAGCTCCGTGCTGATGTCAGCCTGCGTTCTCCTGCTGGTATGGAAGGATTAAAGCTGTCCCCCTGAGCTCTGGAGGATTCCCCGTCCCAGCCTCACCGGCCCCGGGCAGCTGCGTCAGCGCTCCGCCCCGACACACTTCCCCCCGTTCTCGTATTTTAATTTAATTTAATTTTTTTGTGTTTGTTTTATTTACTTTTATTATTATTATTATTTTATCATTCTTGGAGCTTCTTAGCGTTCACTGATGGTTCGAGGTGAATCCCGCCCCCTCTGACCCACAGAAGACCCAGATCCTGCGCTTCCCGGTGAGTAACAACTCCAACACGCAGACTGAAGTTTGTTTGAGTGACAGCTGAGTTCTGGGGCACCGACTGTCAAACATGACATTGTATTTATTAGCAGCTTCTCGCGGTCACATTTAGCCCTCCCCAACAATAAAATACAAAGAAAAGTATGAGGTTGTTCTTTGCTACATTTATTATAATATTAAAATATTTAGTCTAATGTCAAACTGAATAGTCAAAATAAATACTTAAAACCAACTCTTAACTGTAAATAAATATGACCTCTAAAAGTGGGAATTTAAAGGTGCAGTATGTAAGAATATAGCGAGAATTTTAGAGTGAGAAAATCCCAAAAGAGTCGGTCATTTTGGAAGGAAGATTATACTTCATACTGTAGGCCTGTGCAGAGCAGCTCTGTGGGATTCAGCACCTCTTCAACCTCAGCCTGGCCCAGGAGAAGGTTCCAGTCCTGTGGAAGACATCCTGCCTTGTTCCAGTTCCAAAGAAAACTCGCCCATCAGTCAATGACGACTACAGACCGGTTGCCCTGACATCCCACATCATGAAGGTCCTGGAGAGACTCCTGTTGGTCCACCTGAATAAGCAAACCAGAACATATCAGGACCTGCTGCAGTTTGCTTATCACCACGGAGTTGGAGTTGAAGATGCCATCATCCAGCTGCTTCAACCAACCCACTGTCATCTGGACAAAGCAGGCAGCACTGTGAGGGTCATGTTCTTTGATTTCTTCAGTGCATTTAACACAATCCAGCCTGATGTACTTTGCCAGAAACTCCAGAAGACACAGGTGGGGGCCTCAACTATCGCCTGGATTAAAGACTACCTGACAAACAGACCACAGTTTGTGAGGCTGAAGAACTGCACATCAAACCAGGCGATCAGTAACATTGGAGCACCACAGGGCGCTGTACTCTCACCATGCCTTTTCACCCTGTACACCTCAGACTTCCAGTACCAATCAGAGACCTGTCATCTACAGAAATACTCAGATGACTCTGCAGTAGTCGGGTGTATCAGAGATGGACAGGAAGCTGAGTACAGAGAGCTGGTGGAGCGCTTTGTGGCATGGTGTGGAAACAATCATCTGACCTTGAACGTGGACAAAACAAAGGAGATGATTTTAGACTTCAGAAGAAACAGGGTGGAGTCAAACACTGTTTCCATCATGGGAGAAGAAGTGGAGGTGGTTGAGGAATACAAATACCTTGGAGTTCACCTGGACAACAGACTGGACTGGAGAAAGAACAGCGAAGCCGTTTACAAGAAGGGACACAGCAGACTGCACTTCTTGAGGACACTTAGGTCCTTCAATGTCTGTAGCAAGATGCTGCAGATCTTCTACAAGTCTGTTGTTGAGAGTGTAATCTCTTCAGCCATCGTCTGTTGGGGTAGTAGCATCAGAAGCAGGGACCTGAAAAGGCTCAACAGCCTAATAAAAAAGGCTGGTTCTGTTCTGGGGACGACTGTGGAACCGCTGGAGGAGATGATGCAAAGAAGGATTCTCCAGAGAATCAAGAAAATGATGGACAACCCTGAGCATCCTCTTCACAAGACTGTCCAACAACGGAAGAGTGTCTTCAGTCAGAGGCTTCTTCAGTTTGGCTGCAACACTGACCGCTACTGGAGATCCTTCCTGCCAACAGCCATTGTAATATACAACAACTCTTTGATGACTTGATTATTATTATTATTCTTAGCTACTACAGCAATCAATTTCCCTCTGGGATTAATAAAGTATTTTTGAATTGAATTGAATGTTCAGCCTGCATGAGAAACTCAGAGAAACCAATCATTTTAAAAAAAGCATAAGTAATAAATAGTTTCTAGTGAACCTGCTCTTAAATAAAATATATTGTTTTTTCAGCTGAATACTCTCTCTCTGTGTGTGTGTGTGTGTGTGTAATGAAAATACCCCCCCCCCCCCCCCCCCCCAACACACACACACACACACACACACACACCACACCCCTTCTGCATTAGCTTCTGGTAGAAAATCCATGGAAAAATGCTTGGTTCAGAAAAGCCTGACAGATCTATGTCACACCGTCACTTAACATTCTTGGACTCTCCCATCTTGTGTCATGAGGGGGACAGCTGCTGTTGGTTTATTGGCCAAACGGCAGAAATGGCAGAGAATATCTCAACTAGTAGAAGCTAACCATTAGCATTAGCAACTCCACCACACAGCAGAACATCAATGTGGCAAATCAAAAGAAGCCAGTGGTGGAGTCACATTGCTGTTAACCAGTCAGAGGCCAGATGTTCAAATATGAAGAAATAAGTCTCCAAATATTGCCATTTTCTGCCACTTTCTCCTCCGGCTGACTTCTACATCTTCAAACAGGTGCACCAGAGCTTATTTTCCCCAGAAAAGGACTTACAAGACATTTATTCCCACTAGAGACCAATGCAAAAACATTATAAAAGTTTACCTTTAGCTTCCAGGTGGTGTTTGTGCCACGTACTGGTAGAATTCAGAATAGCGCTTTGAGGTGCACCTGGTTTGTGTGGATGTTAAATTAGTGTACACACACACACACACACACACACACACACACACACACACACACACACACACACACACACACACACACACACACATTTAAAACCTGCTGCACCACTATTCCACACTGTTGTCACTTGGATTGTTTAACTTTGATCTTGGTTTCTGTTCTCACAGTAATCTGTTCTGAAATCTAAATCCGCCATCGCCAACGGCACGAGTCGAAGCACCGTTAGTGGGTCTTCAGTAAAAATCCAACTGCTAATGCTTTTGATCACCAGTAGGCATGAGACTAATCTTCCACCGACTTATCTCATGAGTGTTTAGCTGATGTGTGTGTGTGTGTGTGTGTGTGTGTGTGTGTGTGTGTGTGTGTGTGTGTGTGTGTGTGTGTGTGTGTGTGTGTGTGTGTGTGTGTGTGTGTGTGTGTGTGTGTGTGTGTGTGTGTGTGTGTACTTTTCTTTATATGTTTAAGTGGACACATTTTGTCGTAACCTGCGTGTGTGGACATTTCCAAATTGTGGGGACATTTTGCTGATCCACACATTGCGAAGCTCCCTAATACTTGGTTTTAGAGGTTTGCATATGTGTAGCAGCAAAAGAAGTCCCAGGAGAGCGGAGGAGTCCAAGACCTCACCTGACATATACAGTCATACACAGGCACAGTCACACAATCGCTTGTCCTTTTATCAAAACGTATTTTGAGCCTGAGAGGGTTAAGGTCAAGCAACATAAGAGCAAGCTCCTGCAACTCCCGTCGGGAAAAAGAAGAAGCCTTGCAAATGTCGTGAGACATTTTTGAAACTTCTGTTCAAATGGGTTAGGGTTAGGGTTACAACGTGTCTCCTCCAATGAGACACTTGTTTAAGTGCTAAGGAGGAGGTCCATTCTAGCGCCCTACTGCCTGATTTCAGGCTCTGTCGAGGGAGCCTAATGCTCTGTGGAATCCCTTGAAAGCCTCCCAGTGAAAGCCAAAGATGTTTGTGTCAGCTCCATTGAGATTAGTGGAAAGTGGCTCTTGAGATGGAAATTCCTACTAATTGGCAGTGTGACTGCAGATTGACCCATTTATTCTCTCATATAGGAGGGGTCTGTGTGTCAGGGTGATACACTGGCATCAATGAACTGCTTGTTTCCCCAGAAAGCTGCTCAGGGAGAACCAGAATTGGCTCTAAAACTGATAGTTTCCTCTTTTTCAATTACCTTTGTGTGCCTGTTTGCAGAGATAATAAAAACTATGCTTCGGGGTGGTCTGGAACCACTGAGACTGGTGGTCCCATGTACTTGTGACTGATGCTCACTGCAAATGGTCAAATGATGATATGTGATTTGCTGGTGTCCCAGTTTGCTGTAGATCAGAAAGGGGTTGATTGGCACTGCACTGCAAACATATTATAGTTTGTTATGCTTTTATAAAATAGATAAAACTGATCAGAGTTATAGACATGTACATCTATTGGTCACTTTAATAGGTACATCGCTCCAGCTGTGGGTTAGTACAAAGTAGTGTTGCCAAAAAAATCAATACCTAGATATAAATCGATACTAAAAGTGGTATCTAAATTAGATATTCCATCCCTGTGGTATCGATATTATGGACTATTATACACAGCCTTCTTCAAGTACACCGACACGCACGACAGCCAGATGCCGTAAAGCAGCCTCCGCCTCCCAGACAAACAGAAGAAGAAGACGCCGCATGGCTAATTGCAATTTCCCACGCGAGTTGTCTCCGATCCAAGTTTTGTCTGCCAAATAAATAAACAAAAACATAAACAGCGAATTTGGGAGGCGCTTCACAGCCCAACTTAATTAGCATACCAAGTCCGACACGTAGTTGTACAGTTGTGGTCAGAAGTTTACATACATTTATAAAAAATATAATATAATGGCTCCACTGAGTGTCCCGTTATTTCTAAAACTCTGATTTTTCTCTGATAGAGTGATTGGAACAGATACTTCTTTGTCACAAAACACATTCATGAAGTTCGGTTCTTTAATGTCTTTATTATGGGTTAACAACAGAGAAAAGTGATCACATTTGCTGGGTCACAAATATACATACAGCAGTGCTAATACTTGGTTACATGTCCCTTAGCCATTTTCACTTCAATTAGGCGCTTTTGGTAGCCATCCACAAGCTTCTGGTTGAATCTTTGACCACTCCTCTTGACAGAATTGGTGAAGTTCAGTTAAATTTGATGGCTTTCTGACATGGACTTGTTTCTTCAGCACTGTCCACATGTTTTCAGTGGGGTTTAAGTCAGGACTTTGGGAAGGCCATTCTAAAACCCTTATTCTAGCCTGATTTAGCCATTCCTTTACCACTTTTGATGTGTGTTTGGGGTCATTGTCCTGTTGGAACACCCAACTGCGCCCAAGACCCAACCTTCGTGCTGATGATTTTAGGTTATGTTGAAGAATGTGAAGGTAATCCTCCTTCTTCATTATCCCATTTACTCTCTGTAAAGCACCAGTTCCATTGGCAGCAAAACAG